GTGTGTGAGCGCACAAAAATCGTTTACATTAAACTGTTGCACAGGCATTTTCCCTGTTTTCAGCATCCCACGACCTTCGAAAAGATGCTAAAGCGCGGAAATTGTGTGGAAAAGGAAGCAGCGTGTTGAAAAAAACTGGTTTCCAAACATTTCTCCAATCGAAATTAGAAACGCAGTGCAAATCAAAGTGCAATTTACTCCGAGACGAACGTCACCTATACCCCATATAGGGGTTTTCGGGGGTATTACGGTAGTACAAATCGATGCAGACACGCTTATCACAATGCGGACTCGTCTCGACCCCAGATTCTTTCAATTAAGCTTATCATTCCGCAATTAGAAGTTCATTGCCACTGAGCGAAAAATGAGCTTGTTTTCACAATTACCTTAGTAATTATATTTTCACGCCAGTGAACAAATATGCAAATTTCACATGCAAACTTAAACACCTTCAGTGCCCAATACTAGAAACTGGAGCTGGAGGGGGTATCACGTTACTTGGTACTTACATTTGTCTATCCCAAGAATACTCAAAGTTCCAGAGTTTTACGAGTTTATTTCTCACGCACATAAAGTTCGGAATGTAATTCTAATAATAAGAATATTTGCGAAATATATTAGAGGGATAAGGCTGGGTATTTTCTGTCGGGTCTCTTGAAATCTCGTTACGTATACGCCTTAACTTATATTAGCGCCGTTTTTTCTAATAAATTACTTAATACCACAAATATGTGAGTAATGGTCTGAACGCGTCAAAATAACTTAAATGCAATTATCTGGAGCACTCAAAAATAGATAGTTAATTTGGGAGGTGACAATTTTGTACCTTTTTGTATATATTAAATAATACCTATTTGACATGGAAAATTTTACCATATAATAGTAAATCACTTGAGCTTTATGGTTTCCTGATTTGCACCGCCACATTTCCAGACATTGTAAAGATTTATTTTACTTGCGCTTAAGTGAAATTAAGTAGCTTTGCTGTATTTATAGAGGCGACATCAAAGACGCTTGGCGTTCTATTCATGTGTGTCGGTTTATGCAACTGTCATTTAACTAATGCGAGAATTTACCTTTTCCTACTTCTGTTTGCATCTCATATGTACATGCACATACTATAGAATACGTTTTTATAGGTATAATCTCGCTTGAACCCGAACCGGAATGCTGGAGGTGAGACCAAGTTGTTCTGGCGACAGAAACAAAGATGTAGCAGAAATATAACGATTGTTTTAATGAATGCCAGATCGATTCTAAGCTGATTTAGTGGGAAGATTTAGTAGTACCGGGCATCGATGAGGTGGATACAATACAAAAAACGGGTTTGTCAGCGGCTCAATTGTTCGCCCGCTCAATGAATATCTTTTTAGGGGTTTTTGCTTTATTTTCCCCGCCGAATTGGTTACCGAATTTCCTACATTCCAATTGGCACAATGCCGAGCGAGCTTTCGTTGTGTTTGATTTCTGAGCTCCGATTTGTAAGCCGAGCTTAATGGGAGCTTGTTGTAACGGGACAGAAACTGGCGCTCGGTTGGGTTTGCATTTCAGTTGGTTTTGACCGCGCGACGCGCTTGGTTTTGGCACCAGGTCCTCCAGCTTGACAAATCGGTTGCGGCAAATAAAACAGAAAAACACTAAAGATTTTAATATTTTACACCTTGCAACTTGCACGCTACAAGTTTATTACGGGAAAAAAAAGTTCGCTTTGTGAAAAACCCGTTTCGAAATTCGGCAATTTCATTCGGGAGTTCAACACCCCGATTAAACCTTTGCGAATCCCTTGATAAATGGCCCGTATGCGTATAATATGTGTGACATCGATTAAGTGCAGTGTTTCAACTTCGGCAGCGAGTTATTTCCGTCGCACGCAATCTTAACCCACATCGGTATAACCCTTATTTAGCCAGAAGTTTGCGGCTTCGGTTGCGGCTGCAGTTTCTTGGCCATTAACCGCTGACATATTGGCATTAACGAGAGGTTTTTTGAGAGGGCCTATTGTGCAACACCCAGCATGATATTTGTTTTCGGATAAGAAAATACAATTGCAAATAAGATGCAAGAACCCCGAAAATGATATATCATTTTTATGGCATAGGAAATAAAGCTACACAGTTAAAATGAAAAAAGTTTAACAAATAAACTTTAAGTTTATATACACAGAGGAAATTATTCGACACTTTAGGTGTCAATATAGGGTCGAAACATTTTAAAAGTAAAATAAAGCATTATTAATAAAAAAAAAGTGTATAAAACATTTTACTTTTTAAAACGTTTCAGCCCTGTTCTTGCACCGACTTTTGCTAGTTTTCTCTGTGTGGTATTTTATTTTTTTAATTCTATTCATAAACTTAATTTATTACGATTCTGTCTTTTAATACTTCGACTTCTTATTGGATTATAAGTATAAATTATTAATATTTTTTCCAATGCATTCAAATAAACAAGAATTTGGAGAAAGAAAGAGAAAATACTTGTTAAATTTTTTGGCACCAGACAGTTGGGGTGCGCCACTTTAAACGGTGGGTCGTTCGTTGTGACGTCTTTCGGCTCATCTTGAAAATATAGTTTTAACCGGTTTCGTTGGGTCCCGTGACCAAAAGGCGATTAATTTCGAATCCCATAGACAACGTACCACTCAACCTCATCTCTAACCCTATGCATCTTCGATGAACTGGTTTCCATACTCAAGGCTTTTCTTTTTCTTTCGGCTGCTTCGATTTTTTGGCTGACTTTGCTCATATGCATAAATTGCAGGCAAATGCCATAAATATTAATTACCCATAGATTTCTCCCAGAAAACAAAGCTCATCACGTGAATATACTTCCAATTTTTAACTGTGACAAATGAATTATAATACTAAGTCAGAGTGACTATTTATTTCCAATTTGACCCTTGCATAAAGCTAATATCCCTATGTTAGGGCATAAATAGAAATTATTTTCGGATCGTGTACATATAAACACGTAACAATCAATTGTGTCAAAAACTTCAGCACTCCCAAGCGCATAATAAACAAGCCGAAAGAAAGCAGGCAAAACAAGAAGACCAATAAGTGTTCAATTATAAGATTTTTATTGTGTCTCTGTGATTTTGAAAGGTTTTGCCACTTAGCACTCACCGCCGAACCCAACGATAAATAACGATAATGATCAATAACTATAGCCAAATGATTCCCAACTAAGTGAAAAGAGCCACAGTTTAATCGGAATTTATATAAAAGCACAAACACAAGGCGAAAATAAACAGGCACTTGAGCAAACAGAGAGGTGCATTAAGTATACGCATCAAGTATACGCCGCGATGTCCAATGGCAAGGCTGCCACAGCTGCCGCGACAGCTGAGAAAAATGGGTAAATTCGCACTATATAGTGTGTAGTATATACTACCATGCAGTTCCCACTTAGACAATAACCCATAGTTAATTGCTTGCTAAAAACTAATCGAATGCAAAAAACCCACTTTCCGTTGCAGCTCGCTGAACGATCGGCCATTGTTTATGCAAAACAGCAACGGCGGACGTATTGCCACCAGCGATGTGGAAGTCAGCAACTTCCGACGCGCCCTCCCACAGTTTTTAGCTGTTAGTATTAAGAACATATTGCTATTCGGTAAATAACACACATCTTCCAGCTACCCATTTCCCAGGGGAATGAAATTAACGAAACTGAGCCTAAATTATTTTATATCCTCGTAAAAAGGCACACTTTAGTTGAGCCCATTAATTATAATTAAAGTCAGTGATTTAACAAAACCGGCGGTAATTATGGAGCATTAAAAAAGTATATCTATTGCCTTGATCATTCATCACTTTAGGTGAGAAACTCATCAACAATTCAAGTTTTGAAAATTGAATAACATCAATGAAGAATACCTAACTCTATAATGATGAGAATAATATAAATTCAAAATTCTTTGACCTTTTTTAAGAGGATTCGTACTTTAATTCCAGCTTCTAATTAAAGTATTTCTCGTATAACTACATGTGTCATTTGATTTCATTCCCCTAAATCTGAATCAGTTCTGAATGGTTCTGCAGTTTTGATTGCAATAATGAAACCACTCCTGTTCGCATTCTTTAGGATATGGCATGACCCTGGGTTTCCCCACATCGTAATACCCGCCATTCAGGGAGGTGAGGGCGCAGTGAGACCAGCGGCGACATAGTCCTCAACAAGGACGAGATCTCTTGGTTCAGTAAGTTATAAATACAATATTATGCAGTTCAGGATTTATCTTTTCTGTTATCTTAACTACACTTGACTTAAGGTTCCATTAACCTGATATGTGTGCCTCTGGGATGCCTCTTCTCCGGTCTTCTCACCCAACCACTGGGCAAACGACGAGCTATGCAGGTGGGTGTCTCCCAAATGATTTTTAAATCTTTTATTTTTGTTGTATTAAAAAACCATAACATGTGTAAACAAATTGAGCAATTGTAACCCTAGCTATAGGTGTAATTTTTTTTTTGGCACACACCTGAAAAGACACAAATTGCACCCTTCCCACTTAGCCGCAATCATCTGCGGCTCATCAGACGCTCCTCCGATTACCGATCGCTCGGAACACTGACACACTGAGCTGGAATCGAGCTGCGTGACTTTGTGGGGCTTATGCAATTATGTTTATCCGCTGGTGCCGATCCGTCCAAACCCACTACCCACTGCCCACCCACCTACATCACCTTCCCTTCGTATTGCAGTTTGTCAACCTGCCGATTCTGGCCGCCTGGCTGATGTTTCACTTTGCGACCCGCACGGAGCACCTGTATGCGGCTTTATGCTTGGCTGGACTCGGTGGCGGATTAATGGAGGCGCCGGTAAGTGAATCCCAACCACACTGATTAATATCTCTGAAATACACCCAAGTTTATACCTCTCTCACGTGTGAATAGGGGGCTTAGATCTACACCCCCCCTCAAACTCTTTGTTTATCTATTAATTTGCATTTTTCCCGAGAAAGGGGGATTACTTTATCCCCAACTTTTCGAATTTTGTAGCCAAGCTGTTGAAACCGCAAATCTATTCAGCTGGGTACTAATTTCAAGAAAAACTATAAAATATATCTATAAAATTGCATTTAACATTTACTTTGTCGAGTTGCAATTTGAACATTTACATATTAATGTTACAGCCAGCACGGAATTTGATTTTAAATGAGGTTTAAATTGAAAGGAACTAAGATGTTTTTACTTTATTGTGCTGCGAATACTTAAAGTTTTTGGATATGGTTTTATTGGCTGTACGACGCCTGAATCGGTAGTTTCCGGAAGACGATATCCTGTAGAGCGGCACTCTAGGGACGATCTTTGTGTTAAAGAGACACGTTAAGAAGCGCTTTCCCCAGATTTAAGCATTCCGCAGCCCATGTACGTGTTTTTCTCATAAATTAAATTGGCAAAAACTCTCAAGTGATCTGCTGGGGATACGTCGGGAAAGCTTCGGACATCGGCGGGCTTCATTATCTTGTAGTATTCGAACCACATCTTGAGGAAGCTGATAATGTTGAAGCCCTTACTAGTTTTGCGCACCTCCACGAAATCCGAGGACTCGCCTACGTTCTTGTGACGAAACGTATTCACGCAGGGTGAAAAGGAGTGCTCAGTGCACTGGTTCGTAACCCGCATCGCAAGTACAGACAGGTCCTCGTCCCATCTTATTTGGGGTAGTTTCACAGCCTCGGTAAATTCCCGAGACCCCGCTCCACTCTTCTGCGAAATTCGTTCACATTTTCTCAACATCCTGTCTATACTCGGTCAGCCTTATTCCTTCGTGGTCCTTACCACATTTGTCAGCCCACTGAAAAATACATTTTCTATTATTTCGTAATTTAGATTCTTAATAAAGTTACTCACAAAACGAACATCGCAAGTAAGATGTTTTAAGTTTCCGGGGCAAAGGTTTCCATTGCAGTAATCGAGTGACTAAAAGAAACAGAGTGTGGTAGAACATACTTATTTTCTATCTTCCGTAGTTGACTACCTTACGTGGCGTATGATATTTCTTTTTTGGGACATACTTTGGCCATCGAGTTCGGTATACAACTTGGCACTCAAATCCGACAAGGAACAGAAAAACCCACAATACCTGCATCTTTCACATGCTCTTAGTCATATTGATTCTATTTACTTTTACAAATAGTTTGTTGTGGATAATGGCAATTTGTATGCTTAAAGAGCTATTATATCGGTTTCGATTTTCATGGGAAAAGTTCCATACCTTTTTTATTACCTGGTACAGCAAATATGTGTAAATTACCTGAGAAAAACTGATATATTCAAAAAATTGATAGATTCGCATAGAAGGTCATCAGATATCTTGTGCGATTGCAAATTAAAGTTCAGTATGTTTATGTCAATTCTTGAGTATTTCCATGATTGCATCCACTCATTGACCCACATATTTCTTCTAAGACAATGGGTTGTGTGTTGTGCAGACCTTGGCAAACTCCTTATGAGCTTGGCTTCGCCACTTGCCACTTAAGATTGCCACTAGCTGCTGGTATTTAACTTTTAACACTCTAACTCCTCTTTGATTTCTTAAAATGGAAAAAATGTAAGGAACTAAAACGAGTAAAATGTGCATTATGTTTGTTATCCAACAATATGGTGGATTAAAAAATTGTATAACTAGACTCTAGTTACTAATGGATGGATAGACTTGTTTACAAAATGGCAAAGTATATAATGAGCAATTAAAAAGGAGGGGGAATTTTAAAGCAAATTTAAATGTATAGATATTAAAAAAAAATATTTATAAAAGTATTCAGTATTGGAGGGTTAAACATCATATGAAGACCTCACATCGTGCTAGTTGCAAATAATGTGTTAACTAGACAAAAAACGGTCGTAGAGGGTTAATGTCACTCCACTAACGACTCACCTTGCTGATCTTAACCACTCATTGCAGGTGCTCACCTATGTGGCCGAAATCACCGAGCCAAAATACCGTGGAATTCTGTCCGCCTTGGGAACAACGTGTGTAATCACAGGCGTGTTCATCCAATTCATCCTTGGATCCCTGATGGACTGGCGCAGTGTGGCGGCGGTGAGCTCGGCATTTCCGGTGATCACCATCCTAATGCTGTGCTTTGTGCCCGAGAGTCCGGTCTGGTTGATCCGGGAGCAGCGATTCCGGGAGGCGGTGAAGTCCCTGCAATGGCTACGTGGCTGGGTTCCGGAGCACATGATCGAGGCGGAGTTCAATCAGCTCTATGATGAGCTGATCACCCAAAAGGCCATCGAACTGTCTGCGGATGGAATTCCTCTGCAGGGTCAACGTCGGACTTTGGGTCAACGACTGCGGATGTGGCGGAAACGCAGCTTCCTGGTGCCCTTCCTGTTAGTCTCCTTCAGCTTTTTCACTGGTCACTTTTCCGGAAAAACCCCACTGCAAACGTACGCGGTGCAGATTTTCCACACCCTCAAGCACCGATGAACAAATACCATGCGACTATTCTTCTTGGAGTGGCTGAGATGCTGGCCACCATTTTGGGCGTCGTCCTCATCCATTTCACCGGAAAGAGACCCTTGGTCCTCGTGTCAACAGTGGGAACCGGTTTGTGCTTCTTTGGCACAGCCACATACGCCCATTTCTTGAGTGAAGTACCCGGATTTACGGTCAACAATGTGGTTGTTAATGCCTCATCTATTATGCCCAAGGAAGGAATCCTTTCGCAGGACAATATCTCAAGGATCTTTGAGACAGAACAGCAGGCTATTAGGCAGGAAACGGAGCGCTTTACTACCCTGCTGTCAGACATGGAAACAACTACGATGTTCGAACCGGAAGCTTTTAATCGCAGTAAGCGAGATGTTGATGAAATGATGACCACCGATGCGCCAATAGACACCACCATATGGCCAGAGCCATCGAGCAGTGCGGAGCCAGTATCCACTTCATCCTTGGCACCGCCTTCGACTTCGGCCAAGCCCCCCATTGTGGAGGATCTCTTGCTGGTGGTGCCAAAACAGGAGAACAACTACCTGGTCTGGGTGCCACTCATTCTCCTGCTCCTCTCCGCCTTCTTTTCTCACCTGGGCATCCGTATGTTACCCTGGATCCTGATTGGCGAAGTGTTTCCAGCTGAGATACGTAATACCGCCTCGGGATTTGCCGGTGGTGTAGGATATATATTTGGATTCCTGGCCAATAAGCTTTTCCTAGTGATGCTGAGTGCTCTGACTCTGCCCGGAACCTTTGCCTTCTATGCGAGTGTGGCCTTCGTTGGAACCATTGTCCTGTACTTTACGCTTCCGGAGACAGAGGGCCGCACACTGGGAGTAAGTGAACACAAAATTAAACACCCAAATCGAGCCTTACCCTCCTCTTTTGTTTATTTTCACTCTCAGGAAATCGAAGCCCACTTCTCCAAAAAATCCGACATGAATTTGTTTCACAAGCAGCCCAGCAACAAATTGCCCGTCAAGGATGAGGCCCAGTACCCTGGGCCTGCCATCAATGTCCAGGGTAGCTTCCATGTACCCATCACATCGCAGCAGCAGGCGAAGATTATCCATTTGCAGCAGAGCGACTTTGCGCCTCGGCCTTCAAACGGACGGACAGCCGGAGTTGGGATGTCCAATCCGGCCTTCGAGGAGAGCAACACCACACATTTGTGAGGGGCAGTCTGTGGCCAATGTCGACCGTGTCATTACCTAAACATCCTTTCCAAGTGCTTAACATTCCAGTGATATTTCTGAGAAATAAACTTAACTATTTAGATTTATGTACATGATCTACTGGTCTTTAAGTCTGTGATATGTTTAAACCGGTGGGTTGAAATATATCTATTTCTGTGATTAAATAAGTTTCTCTGGGTATTTATTACCCCAGTGTCATAGAACCATTCCTTGTCCAGTCCATATCTATATAGTGATTAAATGCAAACATTTTAGGAATTGCTAAGTTATCTGTAAAAACCTTCCACCAAAACTGACGGAAATGGGATTGAGCAATGCTGCTTTATTTTTATGAAAATAGGAGTGGCCAATGTTCAAAAACGATCAACTGTAGTTCATTTGAAAGTAAAATAAAAGCAACCGGACTGCAATTAAGTGGGTAACAACGTTGCGTAATTTTACCTCATTTAAGTTACTTATTTAGGTCACTGAATTCAAGTCCAATAAATCAAACGGTTTGAAAAAAAAGAGAGAAGATTCACACAGGCAAGTCTCAATGTTTAACTACTTTTTATGTGAACTCGACTTTTAACGTATTTTAAAGCATGCTTATAAGTAATATTGTATAACACATTTCCATGGAGATATATAATTGTATAGATGCATCAAAGGCGTTCGCAACAATCGGACTTGGTTCCTAGGTCTCATCGTCTTGCAGCTCAAGGAATTGTGTACAGATGTCGCGACTACATTCGCCCTTGTTGTTAAATAGGAATTTATAATAGTGGCCGTCTGCACAAATGGCTGGTTAAGAGAAAAAGTTGCGATAAGAGATTTCCCAAGGGACGATTTGCTCAGCTCCAACTCACCCACAACCGAATTCGGATCGGCGCCAAAGGCACAAACACAACGTGGTCCCTGGGGTATTGAAAACTTGACAAAGCTCCACTGACTCGAGAAATACTTGGGTATTATGGGCAGCGAGGATTCACGTGGCTTGTTGTCCTCCAGGTTGAAGACGTGTATGGTGCCATGGTCGGAGGCGACGACCACCATTGTGGACTGGTGATTGAAGTTGATGCAGAAGATGTTGGCGTGGTTGCTGCCACGCCTCAGCTCCGACACCTTCTTGCCGCTCTCCGTGTCAAAGATGCGGATGAGGGTGCCCTTTTCCCCGGCGGTGGCCAGTCGCGTGCCCTGCAGATTCAGGGCAATGCAGCTGATACCCGCCTCGTGGGCGATCACCTCCAGCGGTGCCCTCTCAGTGTTGGCCAGATCCACGATCTGAACGTGGCCAGTCCTTCGGCCGGGGAATGCGAGCAGGCTTTTGTTGCTGTGCGGGCACAGCACACACAGCCCGTTGGGATTGGAGCTGGTTTCGAACACGTGCAGCTGCTGCGGCTGCTGGGTGAAGGTGAAGACCTTGATCACCCCCTCCAGCACCACCACGATCCGATCCCGACGCAGTCGCACCGCCCGCACGGGCTGATTAAAATCCAGCGATATGGCCGGGGACTTCTTCAGGTCATCCCATACTATAACTTTGTTGGGCGGATACAGCGGCCGGATGCCGCCGCCCACCAGGGCCAGGTAATTGCAGCGGAACAGCATCTCCACATGGCTGAGACCACCTGAACATGGAAGACAATGGATTCGATTCGGTTTTAGACCGTGGGAGACTCCCGCACTCTCTCTTTCATGAGCTTTTGTACATACCCTCTGGAAAGTATTGGCGCTCCTTCTCCTTCACGGATCACAGTTGTAGACCCGGAATCCGGTGTCCGTCGCACAGGCAAAGCATCCTGCAACGCAATAGGCCAGGTATATTATACGGACACGGATATAGTATATCGTATATGTAAACAACACACATCCGCACGTACGTACCCTGGTCTTGATTAAAGGCTGCGTAGAGCAGCCCGTTGCCGTACGGATTCTGCTCTGTGAGGTTCATTGCACTCTCTCCGGGAATGCTGGGAGCCCGGGCACTGGATATCTCCGATTCAGTTAATGGGCGGTCAGGCAGGAAAACAATCAGTCGGACGGCGGATGATTTTATGTTTTTTAATATTAATCCATCGATAGGTATCTTCTCTTCTTCTTCGATTTCAGGAGCTATCGATAGTTTCTTCCTCTTTGATTTCAGGAGGCGCTATTAATCAAACCATTTTAATGCTTATTTTTGTGTTTCAAAATATTTTAAAAAGATATTCCCAAATCCCACCAAATCTGGATATTATTTTTTAATCACCAGGTGAATCACCAATGACAGGGGGTACAGATGATATTCACAAATGAACGGTCCTCTGCTCTTTCATATTTTATTTATTCATACTAGTGATCATTACATTACAGGTCGACAAAATCTCTTTTTCTTGGGCCAAAGTAAACGTGCCGATTTCTTAATTGGTAGTTACTGTTTTCGAAAAGTTTGTGTGTTTGCAGTGGCAATCAACAGGTAAAATCCTTTCAGATTTTGTAGTGTTTAGTATGGCGCTTTTTTTTTTGTCGACCTGTGGTTATAGTTAGATAAATCAATCTTTGTTAAGTAATTTAATTAATAGAATGCAAACAAAAGTTGATCCCAATTTGTTGTCGGTTATTTCAGGTGGAAAAAAGTGATTTAGCTAGTTTAAGGATAACGATCTAGCTATTGTAGGTGCAAAATAACGGATATCTAGGCATCACTACCACCCCCAACCCTCCACTATCGACCGACGTCGCTGCTTTTGCAACACTGCTAAAATGCTCCACCTCCAATCTTTTCATAAAATAACAAAAAAAATATTGTATCGTCTATTTGGGAGTCCTGCGGATATTGAACATATGTAAAGCACCATGGAGTTCTGTGCGGAACTGACTGGCCTGGACGAGGACTCCATCGAGCCCTGCCGGACATGCGGCATTACTTTACCATGGGCCTGGACATGGATCAGGCAATTGTAAAACCCATTTTTGGCTTGGGTGAGCCGCCGTCGCAAGCATGGCGGAGATCCTCGAGCAGTGAGTGCTTGGAACATTCAGGTAAGTAGTCATTCAATCCATTTTGATCCACAGAATGTAACATATATGTACTCGAAGGTTGTACGGGAGGACGGACGACCGCAGTACATGTGCATCCCCTGCATTACCGAGTTCGAACGGCTGCTCAAATTCAAGCGCAGCTGCTTGGAGACCCAGGAGCAGTACGGTGAACTGGAGTACCAGCGCGAGCACAACGGCATCGTGATCAAGCGGGAAATCGATCCGGAAGAGCAGAAGTTCTGTGGATTCATATACCTAGACACAGACGAAGAGGATATCAGCGACGAGGACGGCAGCAGGCGCGTGTGCGCCGCCTTCGACATACCGCACGTGCCAATCAAGGAGGAGCACATGGCCAGGGTGCCAGTGCCGAGCGGTACGATTTCCAGCCACCAGAGGCCAATGACCTTGCGCCGCCGGTCGAGTCCGGATTCGACATGATGGACCACGATGCATTGACCGCCAGTATGTTTGCGGCGTCCAGCGAGGATGCATCTGGCACAGTCGACGATGGCGACAACGAAGACGATGAGGATATAGTCAAGTTCACATACGACGATGAAAGCGATTTCACAGCCCCACTGCCGGCGCCCATTTACTCGCCGATTGTTTCCTGCAAGCTGTGTCTTCACGATTCGCCCGACGAGGAGGCGCATCTGGAGCACATGCGTAGCACCCACCTCCTCAAAGACTGGGAGTGCCATATATGCGGCAAAAGGTTCACAAATGCCCAGGAGTCGCGCATAAAGTTCCACATTAAGTATCACAAGCTGCAGAGGCATATAAAGTGTCCCGTCTGCGGATTCATCTGCAACTCAAAAGAGAGCCTCAAGGAGCACAGACAAGCCATCCACGCTCGCACCAAGTGCACTTACTGTGGCAAGAGTAAGTACTTCAAAAGTAACTTGCTTATTCATAGAGCAAATATAATGATGCAATCGCATTTATCTTTCAGCTGTGAAAAACGCACTGCTACAATCACATTTGAAAAAGCATTTAAGGGGTAAATAAAAATTAGAAATCCTTTTGATTTATTTTATAACCTTTTACTTTATTCGCAGAGGGTGAGGCCGAACTAGCCGAAAAACTAAAACTCCTGGAGCAACTGCCGGTTAATGTTTCCAGCACGGATGCTTTTTCTCCTTCACTGTCTGCGTCTTCCCTTGAGGTCTCCTCAGATACTGTGGTTCCTAATTCTCTAGAAATGAATCTTGCCGGAGTATCTTCACTCCTATCCAATGTCTCCCAAATCAGCGAGCCTTTTGTTTCTCAGGAGTCAACTATGCCCGAAGACTTAAATGTTACTGAGGACTCTGAAGTAGTTGAGGACTCTAATGCTTTTGAGGAATCGAAAGTTCTGGAGAACACTACGAACTCTCGGCCAACTTCTTCTGCAATCGACCCTCCAGTAGACATTCTGTATCCGATGGATCCACCTGCTCCCGTAGCCGTTCCTGTTCCACCCGCTTCTCCGCCTTCCGTGCCCATGATTACTGTCATTCAGTGCGCTTTCTGTAGCGACACTTTTGAGGAGGCCCAGCAGTTACAGGCTCATGTGCTGGCCGCCCACACGAAGACCCGAAAGAGGCCTCGGTCTCCAGAAAATACTTTCCCAATGAGGAAGACTAGGCAGGGTAACCTTTCTAAGAAAACTGAGCAGCAAAGCACCAACAACGAAGAAAGCTTCGCACAAGAAGACCAAAACCACAGCACCGCCCAGCAGGAGAGCAGAACTGAAGTGAGCCTTAATGGCAGCTCCACTGCCGAGCAGGGGCCAGGGAAATCCTACATCTCTTGTCACGTCTGCGGCAAATCCTTCGACTTAAAAATTAAGCTTAATCGACATCTCAAGCAGCACAATACGTTACCATAATAAGCAATTTATTTAGAACCATTTTAAGATGTTCAATTCCTTCTTTGGGCTCTGAAGAGCAAAAATTGTTCGAGAGTACTATGAAGCTTCTTTTGATTATATTTATTTTAGGCCCATTGAAACCATAAATTTACATTTAATTTTCTCAGTCTGAAAGCAATTTGGTTCGCGAAGTAGTCCCATATGTATTTACTTTCAATAAAATTAAAACTAGCCTGCATGCAGGTGAATAAATGAAACTAAAACACATTTGTATTTGTACTGAAAGCAAACATCGCCTTTCTGGTTTCATTTGAGTTTTATTGGGTGTTTCTATATATATTATTTTATAAACTTTTCCATAAAATTGGTTGCTGGATGAGACATTTCTATCGCTGTCCATTATTTTTACTTAGTACGAAGCAATATTTGCAAAACTTTCTGCCTACATAGATAAATTACACGTGTTGTTAAAACAAAATCGAAGAAAGTATAACCGAGGAAGGGTAAACAACGTGGTTAACAAGCCTCTCCGCTCCTGAGCCTCCTAGTTGCCACTCCCTGTGGCCGTCTTGAGAACTGTGCCCGGGATCAGTTTGGTGGTCAGCGCCTTGGCCCCCGTCTCACCTGCCACTGTCGTCACGGAGATTTTTCCGCCGGCCGCTGCACCAGTTGCTGCCGCGCTGCCCATAGGTATCACTTTTAAGCTGGACAAAGGCTTCAGGTTCATGCCCTGCAGTCCCGGCGTGAAAAAGAGCTGCCCGCCGTTGCCTTGCACAGCGAATACGAGATTGTTACCAGCCGTCGCCGTCGCCGCAGGAGATGCTGTTGTAGTGCTGTTTACAATGCTGCTGTTGGCGGTACTAGTGATCTGTTGTTGGCCACCAGTACGTTCTTGGCCAAACGTAGGGTTTGCGTGCCTCCCGCTCCTATTAGCAGGGTCTTGGGCGCCGTCGCTATGCCCCCAGAGGCAGTGGTTGTTCCACTGTTGCTACTGCTGCTGGTGGCTATGCGCAGGAGTTGGTTGCCCATGATGACTGTTTGAACGGGTGCGCCTGCTCCTCGCGCGGAAATCTGAAAAAAAAGGGATAATTCAAAAAGGGATAGACTTTTTAGATATTTTAAAGAGTTAATATTCTAAGATTACTTACCGCTCCCTGCAGCTTAACTGTCTGACCGCCAATCACAATATTCTGAGTCGTTCGCACGGCAGTGTTCGCCACTCCCGCCCCGGAAACCACGACTCCACCTGTTCCTCCTACTACCGAGGAAGTCACAGCTGTGGTCGTAGTTGTGGTGGTCTGGGTGGTGGCCACACTGCTACCGCCTAGCTGCTTTAACGTCTTGGCGTGAAGAAGAAGTGGTTTTCCCGGGATTACTGTCGTCTTTCCAATGATCTTGGGCACCACAGTCGTCGCGCCTCCAGCTGCCGGGGTAGTGGTGGTCGCACTCACAATTCGTGCCATCGTGGGCAACTGCTTGGTCTGCTGGTTGGGATTAAGGGTGATCACATTTCCTGCCGAGGAAGTGGCGAACTGAACCATATTGTTGCTAGCGGTGGTGAGCAATTTTCCAATAGCTTGCTTTTGTACCAGGCTATCCAGAGTGATGATTTGCGCGCCTGTTTGGGAGTTCCCCACTCCTACTACTGTTCCAGTGCCGACATTTGTTGCTGGAGTAGCCCGAATTACACGCGTGGCATTTCCTCCCAGTGCCGTTAGGGTACCAGACTGATTGGTAGCCATCACCGGTTGCTTGAAGTTCTGCAGCACAATTCTCTGCTGCTGTGGCGACAAATTTGTCGTCGCTTTGGACACCGAGCCAGTGGGCGATGTGGTGAGTATTTTGGGTGCTGCTTTTGCCAGCGACTGGAATACGATCTTCTTGTTCGAGGAAATGGCCGTGTTGCCTGTAACGAAAGGCGAGTTATAAAGTAATCTGTATTGAAAATATTCATTCAGCCGTACTCACCCACAATGATCCTTTGCTGCGGCGAGTTCAGGGCAGGACTGGTACTGTTCACCTTCTGTTTCAGCTGTTGTTGCTGTTGCTGGAGACTGGCGAATGCTTGGGGCGACATCTTTACAATGGTTCCGCCCCCGGTAACCGGAGAACTCGTGCTGATCGTCACAGGGTTTGACGTTTCTGCAGCGGAAATACTTGTAACCGGTTTGTTGGCCACAATGGACACAGCACCGATCTTCTGCTGAACCGGTCGCACCGTCTGGGATTGCGGTACTACTCGGGGTCCGAGGATTTGCACAGAGCTCGGCTTGGTGTTTATAGCCGGATTCCCAGTTACAGTGGCTCCTCCAGCGGGCAGAAGCCGGATAATGTTTTTCGGCATCTGAGGACGCGGCGTGATAGTGAGAGCCTTGGGTTTTCCTGCGATCGTTTGCACCTTCACATGCTGACCCTGCTGCTGCTGCGGAACGCTTTGCTGTTGTTCCATTGGGATGATAAAGTTTCCTATTTTGTTGTTGGGAGCTGGCTTCTTAATAGTCAGCTTCTTGGCCATCGTAGGAGCCGCTGTTCCTGTTGCTTGATTAGGAGTGGTTGCTACATGCACGGTTTGCAAGCCACTGGGAGTGGACACCAATATGGGCGTGGTGTTCCGCGTGGGACTGATCTTGGATATCGCAAAGTTGCCAGCTTTAGATGTAACTACTTGTCGTTGAAGGGGCGATGGGGCAGAATTGAGCACTCCCACCGGTCTGAGCAGAGATTTTTGTACCTGCTGTATGGGACTTTGAATGGGGTTAATATTGGATGGGGCAGCTACTATCGTTCCTCCACTGGGCGTACCAGGTGGTACGTGATATTTCAAGGGCGGCACAGGTGGACATTTAACGGTGAGTGGTTTCTTTACTTGCAAGGAAGCTCCCACTGGCAGTTGCACAGAGGATGGAATCGGTGAAACCACTGCTGGCACCAAGGCGGGTAGTTGCTCCTGTTGGTGCTCCCCAAGCAACCCAGAGCTGTCGATGCCATCTGGAATCTTTGGCCTGTTTAGCTGCTTCCTCTGCTGCTGCTTCTGCTTCACCAGTGATTGGTTATGTCGATGCATTTTCTCGAATTCCGCCTCGCTGCGGTTTCGATGCAAATAGATCCAGATCTTGCGCCTGGCGTCGTATCTCACGCAAGGATCTTGACCACCATGCATTCGGTCCAAAGCTCCACTCACGATGGTCTGTAGCACATTATCCGCTGCTTGTTGGCTTACATACTGCGAGCACTTAAGCAACTCGGAGATCTCAGATCGGGTTCCCTCTCCGTTAGGCAGCCGGGCGGTAGCATCTCGAACCAAGGTAAGAATGGTGACAAATGGAGGACGGTCATCTACCATAACAGCATGGCCCCTAGCTTTGTTCAGTGGCAAACTTTGGGTGTAGATTCCTTTGACTGGACCCACCACGCTCTCATATCCATTGAGTCTATAAGTGAAGGGTCGATGTGGAAACTCAAAGCGTATCCTTTCCTGCCGCTGGAATTCCAGGATCTCCGCCTGGCTGGCTGAGCGCACAGTCCATGTGGTGGGGCATCTTGGAGGAGGTGTCGGAGTTGCATCCACCAAAGCATTCGAAATCAATATCGGGCTGAGTTGTGAGTGCTCCTCCCTTTGCGTTCGCAGCCAAGACTGACAAAGGCTTAGGAGTCGCGCATCGGAGTCCCGGCCAGCCCCTATCCACTGGTATATCCCCAACTGAGTTTTGTGTTCAATATAGGGAACATATTCCGCCGGAACGGAACCGAAGTCACCCGACAAGAAGTTGACAGCCGATTGTAACAACTTTGACCAATCCGGCACGAATCTTGGCCACTCCCCAGTGGGTATTGAGGCATCCGAATTGATTTCCCGCCAGCTGGACAGCAAGATTTGTAGTTCTCCGTAAGTCAGCCGGTGCTGCGGTGTGGATACAAACAGATCCCTGACCAGTGAGAAGAAGGAGGCGGGGCGAGGCGAGGCTGGTGGACGAATCAGCACTTCCCGGATGGGACTGCCGGTAATGTGCCCAGCAGTTGGAGGAGCCGTGACAGTGGGATGATTGCTCGAAAGATTTGGCGCCGTTGGACTCGCCTTGGGATTGGCTATAGGTCCATTCAGAGGTTCTAGCTTGGGCACGGGATGAGGAAGAACAACTGGTGCAGGTATTACTTTCTTTGGCATAAGCTGGGGCTCCTTGGGTGGCAGGTGCTCCTCGGGATGCTCCTCCGGCGCCCGTCGGCCGTAGAGTTGCTGAGGTTCGTCCAGCAGCATGGGTTCCTCATCCACAAACTCGCTCTTCGTTGCCGTAACTCCAATGGGCACCAGCGCAGGTGGATCGGGATTGAGCCGTGCCATAAGCGCTTTCGGCTTTCGACCAGGTTTAAAGCTTCCGACGAACTGGGCACGAGTGCAGATGTCGCGAAGTCGCACCTCCGATGTATCAAACTCGGGACTTTCCTAGAATTGTTCAAAAAATTGTAATTAGAAAACTTTCTCGGTTAATTAAGAGCATATTCAAATACAAAGGTATACGAATGGTTAAAAATTGTGTGTTTAAAAGCATTTAAGAATTTGGAGTGTTTAGATGGCCACTGTATTTGCACAAAAAGGCAACGACTTACCGGTTGTTCCAATTTTCGTCGCTTGTAGTCTCTTAAGTACTTCCGGAAGTTCTTGTCGTTAAGCTGGGGAATCCTCTCCGCCTGCATAGAGCGCAGCACCAGGTCATCATCCACGCCCGGTCGCCGCTTGAAGAAGGTATTGTAAATGCATTTCTTGTCCGCCGCATTCGAGGGCCTGCCAGGACCTGTTGTTTCTGGAACCTTGGGCTCCTCCATTTTGAACTCGCGTGGTTCCTTGGCCAGACGCTCCATCAGCTGGGCGCATTCCGTGTCCTCTTCCTCCTCCTCGGCACTGATATCGCCGCGTTTCACCTCCAGCTCGCCCATTAGCTCCAGAAGTTCCTGGGCGTAACGTTTCTTGGCTCGCTGCGAGCTAAGGGGGTTATCCATGGACAGCGTGGGCGACTTCCTCTTTAGGGGGCGTGGCCTCGGCAAGTATTTCCCAAGGGCGCCATCAGAGGGTGGGGCAGAGGAGTAGGCATGCTGGAGAAGCTGCTCCCTGGACAGGAATAGCTCCTTGGCCAGCTGGCTGAGGCGTTCGGCCTGGCGGAAACGGAATTCTCTTCTGCTCGAGTGTTGGATGCTCCGCCGCAGCTGCAGGACATCCGGTCGCAGGTTGCCCTCTTCCAGTTGGCGTTGCAGCCGAAGCAGCGGGGATTGTCCGAATCGCTGAAGGCCACCATTGAAAGCTGCACCAGAGTGCGCTGCTGTTCGGCTCCGGCCTGCGCCGGTCCGGAGACCAAGCCGGAAAGTCCGGAAGCATGGGCTGCAGACGAGCTGAAGGTGGTGGGGCAACAGCTGCCAGGTCTCCAGGGAGAAGAACTCATGGAAAATGGTTGAATTTTCGCACAACCCCGGGCAAACGGAATATATCCCGTCCACAGAGCTGCGCCAGCTCAAGTTCGTCCGACTGGCAGGTGTTGGTGTCGTCCTCCGTCTCCGAGCCGCTGCCCGCGTCCTGGTCGGACATGTCCTCCTCCTCGCCATCCGGATCCTCCTCCAGCGAGCCGCTCGACGAGTCCGAGGAGCTGCTGCTCGACGTGCGACTCCTCTGGCTGCTGGCCGTGTTGCTTCCGCTGTCGCTCATCCGGCCATCGCCCTCCTCCTCCTCATCGGATTCCACACTGCGATTTGGATTCAGATTCGGATCTGGATTCCCATTAGCATTCGGACTTGGCCTGGGCACTGTGTTTATGTTTATGTTGCTCATCGGATCGCCAACAATTCGCCACCAGATTTTTCTTCGCAAAGAGCGATTTTTTCTCTACACTAACTTATAATTTTTGTCTCTTACGCCGCTGTCCTGCCTCGTTATATCAATCAGCCAGCGTTAGCTGCTGGTTTTCTTCTTTTTTTATTGTTAAGCATGTTTTCTCTGCGATTTCTCACCATTCATCGCGAAACGCGTGCACGCTAGTGGTGGCACGATGTGGCGGTGGTGGTTGTCCCACTTTGGCGGTTTGAAAAAGTGCACATCTTGTTTTAGGGGTTATTTTCCCCTGTAAACTAAGCGTTTTGCGGCTGGGGGCTTTGAATTTGTCTTGCCACCTATGCAATGTACAGGAAAACGTCAAATAGACGTAAGTTTTTGACCGACCACTAGAGATGAGACGATGAAACGGCCTTGAATTGTGCACGCTTATTGTGACTGCACTTTATCGGTATTCAGTTGGAAGAATAACGGCTTAAATTAGATAAATTAAATAATTAATAGAATTTGTATGCATTTATTTATGTAAGATAATTTGATGCTCTTTTTGAAAAGTTCGTTAGTATCTGTCTGTTTTTAAATTCTTACCCTGGATGAAATAAACTTATGTAGATGCTCAGTCCTAGCAGTACATTCAGTTCTCAAGCCCTCTCATCTTTATCTAGTCCTAATTAGATCTATTGTAACTTTCAATTTTTGGAATATAACTTAAAATTTCCAAATCCGGTTCACCTGGAGAGTTAACGGCAGGGAACCAGTTCGTTAACCAACCAAATACAGATAAGCCAGCGATATTATCGATTATGTCATCGAAGGTGTGACATCGCTAGCCCTGCCTACTATTTGTTTTTATTGTTGATTATTTTCCTGGAGATCTAAAAAACCAGCGGCACAATGAAGAAAAAGGTGTGGTTTTGTTTATGCCCGTTAAAGGATGTGGGAGATCATTCCTTTTTCATTATCAGGTCCTGCTGATGGGGAAGAGCGGATCGGGGAAGACGAGCATGCGATCCATTATCTTTGCCAACTATATCGCCCGTGATACGACACGCCTCGGAGCAACAAGTGAGTAATACTATATAATCGGAGGTGCGGAACTAATTTTACTATATGGCCGTAGTCGATGTGGAGCACTCGCATGTGCGGTTCCTTGGAAACCTGGTGCTCAACCTCTGGGACTGTGGCGGCCAGGAGGGCTTTATGAAACAGTACTTTGCCCAGCAGCGTGACAACATCTTTCGCAATGTGGAGGTGCTCATCTATGTGTTCGATGTGGAGAGCCAGGAGATAGAGCGCGACATCCACTACTACCAGAGCTGCCTGGAGGCCCTGCTGCAGAACTCGCCAGAGGCCAAGATCTTCTGTCTGGTGCACAAAATGGATCTGGTGCCGGAGGAGCATCGCGAGAATGTGTTCACGGAGCGCATGGAGGATCTCATCAAACTGTCGAAGCCCGGCAATGTTACTTGTTTCCGCACCAGCATTTGGGATGAAACACTATACAAGTTAGTAAAGACAATAATTCCCAGAAACGACTTTTATTCAACCTTCAACTAATTACAGAGCTTGGTCTTCCATTGTCACCATGCTGATTCCGAATGTGCCGCCCTAGAGGGCTCCGTGGCGCATTTTGCCAATGTGATCGAGGCGGATGAGGTGCTGCTATTCGAGAAGGCCACTTCCTGGTGATCTCCCATTGCCAGAGCAAGAAGAACCGCGACTCGCACCGCTTGAGAAGGTGTCTAACATCATCAAGCAGTTCAAGCTGAGCTGCTCCAAGTTGGGCGCCAAGTTCCAATCGATGGAGGTGCGCAATAGCGCTTTCGCCGCCTTTATTGACACCTTCACCAGTAACACCTACGTGATGGTAGTCATGTCGGATCCGACGCTGCCCTCGGAGGCCACACTAGTCAACATAAGGAACGCCCGAAAGTACTTCGAGGAGCTGGAGAACCCGAGCAACAGTGCCATGAACCACCACGGCCATAAGTACCATTGATGGCGATACATAGATCGTTGATTTTCGTGACCCCAATTGCCGTTCTCCGTTCAAAAAGACATGAAATTCGTCTGTTGTTGTGCACACATCGAAGCGCCCAAGGTGCCGCCCCCAAAGTCTTACCGCTTCCCGTAACTATAAATACGTATATGTTTTTTTATCGCTCGCTTGCATCAAGGCTATCGTAATGGTTAATGGTGCGCTTGTAAAAATTGCAATACTTGTACCAACTCACACAAGAACTATGTAAAATTAATAGCTTTTCGAGTTATGAAAGTCTTAGTAATGCGTGAGCGATGGATAGCCATCTCCTTCGTTGATTTTTCGTAGATTTGTAAGTTGAAACCTTAGTAGGCCTTAAGTTTATATACAAAACAATTACACACTTATAAATACATACACAAAACAATCCTAGCAATTGGTCACTTGTAAATGCCGAACGCGGTATAAGGCCCACATATCACAGATAATCCAGATGGTTCGCCTGAGGTGCCTACGAATAGAATCTCCTGACCTCCTCGGACAATCGATCCACGGTGTCTTCATCAACGGGCAAAAATCGTTTTGCTCCGCGGCTGAAGTAATAGATGTCACCGGTGTAAATATCGAACCAAAGGGCGTGAATGTGGAGATCGTGTGATTCTAAGCGGGCCTTCAGGAAACCATAGGATGCAACGTTGGACATCTGCTGCAGTGTGTTGATCTGCGAGAGCTTGTCCTCTACGGCAAACTTTTGCTCCTCATCAATGTAGGCCACAAAGCGACGCAGCGGAGTCTCAGACGAGAAGATCAAAGGATCTTTCATGCCGGCATCGCGCCACTCCTGGAACCTCTCCAAACTGGTGTTGGCATGGGTGCACAGCCAGGATCGCAAGGGTGAGAGGCGACGATTCAGCTGGGGGATAAGGGTGAGTGATTCGTTTATGCCACTTTTAGGACCTTAAAAAACTAGAATTTCAGTTTACTTTTTTCTATACCTTTGAGGCGAAGTCGGGATCCCTAAGCTGGTAGAGGAGATTCATAGCCTTGCAATCGCTGTGTCCGCACACTATTATGTGTCGTATGTCATTTACTACGCAGCCCAGTTCCAAAGCAGCTGGCTCGCTAAATGATTGTATTTTTTAATTAACTTACATTTTTGAAGCTTAAGATAAGGGACATACCAGCTGAAGTACTCATCCTGAAAATGCTGAGCATGCGGAATCAAATTGCCAGCGTTTCGAACTTAATCGTGGGAATAGACAAGAGTGTTAGGCTATAATAAATTTACTCGGCTGCAGCTACTCACCCACAAACATATCGCCCACATGGGTGTCGGTGTACCTGGTGGGAATCATTCTACTGTCCATGCAGGTGAAGAAGACGGCCTTGGGCTGAATGATAAAGTTTATCAAGAGTTAGAACACATAGATATCGGCCAGTGCGTAAATATATTAGGAATATGGCAACCGCAAGTTATGATATACTTGGCAAATAGCCAAAGCGTCGTTGGTTCAAGGCTGCCCACAGGGAAATTCAAAAACATTGGAAATGTTGATGGGGGGAACATTTTATAGAAATGGCATGTGCCACTTATGTCCGTACTTTCAGTACAGCTAGGGTCAGATCTTTAGATTCTATGTTTAAAATAATTCACAAGCTGTATTTATCAAAAATGTTTAAATTGTTCTTTTTGTGGTGTTTGTCTATAATGTTATTTGAAAAAATTTCTAAAATGAATATTTTTATATATAAATGTATCTAAAAATATTTAGGTTAATTTTTTATTTTAACATATATATTTTTAAACATTTTTTCATATCTTCAAAATCGGTGTTCTAAATATATTTCGCCCATTTCCAATTATAACGGAATTAATTTGATAATTAGCAGAGGTTCAAATGCACGAAACTGAAGAGCACCGAAAAGCAATTAGTTAAGTATATAAAAATACAATTTAATATTTAACAAACAAAAGAGGTGGCGGTGGTGAATTGGTGTTGAACCGGTTTGCCTTAGTTGTTTGTTTACCAAATAACACAAAAATAAAGAGCGGAGAACAGAGAGAGAACACTTAAAGAGCACCAAATTTGCGATAGACAAGTCGAAAAAAATGAGATAATGATATAAAACACAGGCAATTAGTTCCACACAAGGCAAAAGCATGTTTCTAAGGTCTTTTTGTGAAAGTTAAACGATTCTATTCCGAAATCTTGACCTATAAACGGTATTGCTCACCTCTGGATTGTCGCGCACTTTCTGGAACTCTTTGACCATTTGCTCGCGCGTTGTGTTCCTGTACCGCATAATCCCCCTCAAAATACGCTCCATTTTGAACCTTTTTTTTTGGGTTTCTTAATCTTAATTTGGCACTTTTATTGCACGCACTTTGGCACCAGAATTGATTTTCCTTGATTTGTGTATAATGATGACGCGTTCGCGCTCCACAAAAAATACGATGGAGCTCGGTTGGCGGTGGTGGAGCATTTAAATCGGAATTGTTGCTTCCAAAACACGCGACGAATTTAGCGAGCAGCTGTTGTTGTCTCTTTGGGAGAGCGCTCCCCATTTTATTGAAGAGAGAACTTAAGAGCGGCAGAGACCCCAAGCAATTGGGGATAGTTTTCAAGGTGCTAATTTTTCCATTTATAAATAAACTCGTGCGGTTAGGGTGAAAACTTTAGAGTTTCGAGTTGGTAATACCCATTTTTATGATTTTGTAACATTAAAGAATATATAAAACTATATTTTTCATAAAATTGCAAAAGGCAATAATAAGTGCTATACCCATTTTGTATTTAACTATAGTTAGTTATTTTAATTCTAAAAACCATCTCAAATAAAAATGTCTTTATAAACAAATGTAATCTTAATAACTTTTATAAAACAGATGACTAACTTAGTAAAGAAATTAAGAGAGTAGTTTGTTGATACATGTACATAAGAGAAATATTAGAACTTTTTCCATACCCACAACTTTGGACACTCCTTAGGGAAATGTTTTCTCAGTAAATATTATTGTATTATTATGGGGAGCGGAAATCAATTGCTTAATAGCATTTCTCTGAGCAAACATCTCTGGCAAATTCCAGACAGTCGACTAAAAGTCAACTTATTCGCCAGGCGGCTTATCAGTGAGGCAGAGTAGGAAACGACTCGAAGAGCTGATGATGTTGATATTATGGCTTCCACGTTCTGTGTGTACTTTGCTGTTGTTGCACCTAATCAATGTATTGATGGAACTTTCTGATAACTTCCTTGATCTTTATGGGTCAAGGTCGATTTATTTGTATTTTTAGCTTTCTCATTTTTAAAGCTTAATTACAAACATAGGAACGTTACTTACCCCAAATTTAATATTATAATGTAGGCGTTATACCCACATAAGGAAGTGTCACTGAAATCGCTCAGTGCAGAATTTGTATTAAAAGAATATTTATAATGATGCAAGTTAGAAACCCTGTGTCAAACCCTTTAATTATATTTCCAAATTTCTTTCAAAACCCCAAACTAAAACGCTCAGTAGCCCACCCACTTGGACCTACAATTTATCTACATTTAATTTCTACATGTAGAAACGTAGTTTCGAATTCGGCCAATGGGGGCGCCACATACTGTGTAGTTTGTTAAACCCATATAACGATATATCGCATTAAATATATATTTCCTTTATTGTTTTTGTATCTTAATACCCTTCTGCCGAATAAAATATTCCTTGTTGGCAGCACGATTTGTCTTTCCATTGGGACTTCGCTTCAGATCGTTAACAATTAGACAACCGGCGTGCAATCTGAGGAATTTTGTGCTAGCATGCTGGTCTACAAAATCTGTAACGTCCTTTTCACTTAACTGAACATTTGGTTTTTTGGCGATAATCGCCGCTGCCTCGTCACCATTTTCCACATTCCAAATGCCGAAGACACAGGCTTCGACCACACCAGGCATTTGGGAGATTAATTCCTCAAGATCATGGGGATAGTACTTGTTGCTGTGGTACTTGAGCAGGTCCTTCTTTCGCTCCACAATGTACACAAAGCCATCATCGTCCACGTAACCAAGGTCGCCAGTTTGGTACCAATGGTCCTTGTAAACTCCCTTCGTAGCTTCTGGATTTGCGTAATATCCGGGCCAAAAGCTTCCATTGTTAATAAACACCTCGCCCTCCTCGTTTGGACCCAGTTTATCACCTTGATCGTTGAGTATCTTTACCTTGTAGCCAGGACTAGGACGACCAACCGAATTAGGCTTGGCATCGTAGTGCCAGTTGACGCAGTAGAGGGAACCCAGTTCCGAAGCTCCATAGCAAAATTGAATGATGTCCTTTCCCAATTTCTGGCGCAGTCTTTTTTGCACTTCCGCGGTGCATCGACCACCTCCAAAATAATAATATCGTAGGCTTTGCAAGTTGGCTTTCTCAAAGTCCCGACAACTAACAATGGCTGCCACTTGCGCCGGAGATTGTAGAACGTATGTGACTTCGTATTCATCGATTATGCGGAGAGTTTCCAGGGATCAAAGGGTTCATCAGATACTATCCGTTTGGTGCTAAAGACCCCCGAGGAGACCACTGTCCACAGACTCGAAGCCCAGTCCAAGGAGCTGGAGACGTACTGAATATCCGAGGTGTTATTTTCTTTGTAAGTAGTTAGGTTATTATATTTTCTTTATAAACTGTACTCTTTTGGTCTACTTACGTAAAGCCGCTGAGAATGGTTCGGCAGTTGGAAACAATAACTGCCTTTGGAGTTCCCGTGGTGCCAGAAGTGCTGAGTATAGCCAATGGATGGGTGGAACCTTGATTTAGGGGAGTTGGCTTGAATCCTTCTTCCGCTGGCGTCTTTAAAACTTCCTGGATACTTAACACCCCGGCAGGATGATTCCGCATTGTCACTATCTTTACATTCAACTTGGCGGTAGCGGAAAGAATTTTTTCGTACTCATCACCATCGCAGAAAATAATACGAGGCTTTGTGTTGAGGAACAGTTTCTCAATAATTTCCGGTAAATAGGCACTGTTTAGAGTGTGCATCGCGATGCCATTGAAGAAACAGGCGTATGCCACGGCCGCTACATGGGTAGTATTCCGAGCTATAACGCCCACGATGTCCGTTGAGTCAGCCCCAGTTGCGCATAAAAGTTGCAATGCGAACAGCATTATTTAATAGATCCTCCCTTATAAGGATAGTTTTCTCCGAGTCTGATATCTGCAGAAGATTGTCTAGATTATCAGGAAACCTGCCATAAGATATATTTGATGTACAAACCTGAGCCACGCTTTTGGGATCCGGACCATTTCCTGAAATATAATTTCGCCTATGGACAAATCCTCTTCGAACTGAGGCTCCTCTTTTTCACTGCTCCAAATCTTATCAACGACATCGTAGTTAGTTTTGGCTGAATGACATATTTGCCACCGAATTGCAAAAAGTTCTATGACCACACATGATTTTTGCTTATATACTTTAGTGCCAGCTGATAGCGAAAATTTAAAAAAATCTTATCTTGCTTTGATTGGGTAACGAGTATAATATATTTGCGGGAAAGTACACTTCTTTGTGGCTATAGTAAATCTTTGAAAAGTATTTAAGGTATTTCTTTTTGGTTAATAAACACCAAATTTATATTTTTTTTATTTCTCCTAATTGTAAAAGCACCATTGTAAAGAACTTATCTCAAGTTGATTTTAATACAGGCAACATATATTGTACAAAAGCAATAGGGTATCTCAACAGTCGGAGTACTGGAATATAACTTCTTTTTTTAAGATAATCAAGTGTACTGATAAACTTAACTTTTGAAATGAGTTGAGTTGTTGGTCTCCCATTAGCTATACTAACTAAATAACTCAGAGTTAACGTTGCTCTCTTTACCTAAACCAAATTACCTGGAATTAAATGCTGCATCATGCGTTTTATTAAAAGTTATCATATAATCATGTGTTTGATAACAGCAATTTTAGGTCATCTTATCTTAATCATTTATTGGTAATCTTTAGGTGCAGGTTAACTTATCTATGCGATCTGAGCTTAGCTTTTATTTGTTGTCATATAATAATATAATGAAATTTTAAAAAAGTGTATCAAATAAAATGTGACCATAACTGACTGTGAGAGAAATGACTTCAAAAAAGTATCATTGAAAAATACATTTTTATCGACTGTTTTTACATCATAAGCTGGCAAATTTTATTTTCACAGAAATTCATAGAATAATTAATTGTAACTAACCATTAATGACAATCTTCACTGAGTTTAAATTCAGGTCAAAGATATACCGATGCTGTTTGCTCATGATAATAATACTTTTTTTATATTCTCATTAAATGCTTTTATTTTCTGAAAATTATTTTTTGTAACGATATTGGAATTCCTGCATTTCGCATGCTCGTTTTTATTGGCCTGGGAGCATCACGTCTCCCATTCGTATGAATTGGGCTCTTAGCCAGTGTAATATTAGCCTTTCCGAGAAGTGCCCACCGCATCATTCGGTAGCGGGTTTTGGTTGCTTTTCGGGCATTGTCAGAACTTCACAGGCATCTCGGCTGGGATGCCTCCGAAAGTGGGTCACACAAACACCTGTGCGGCAAAAAGGCCCACACCAATGCAAATATTATGAAATCCCCACCGCCGCGAAAGAAAGCAAAGTCTAAACCACAAACACGGCTGACTGTGAGCCGCCGCCGAAAAGCAAAAAGCCAAAACCAACAACCAGGGCCATTTCTCCAGCAGATTCACTCTTGATGATTATAAACTTTTGTTGTGTGTTTCGGGCCTTGTGGTTTTCGGTTTTCGGGATTGGGACCTGACTGACCGACTCCATCGCATCCCAACCCCCGCAACAAACTCCCCGAACCAACTGTTTTGCTTTCCTTTCATTATCGAGCGGCAAAATATTGGTTAAGCAAGCAAGGCAGAGACAATGAAATCGAAAGAAAATAGTATTTAAAGTGGGATGTGACGAACCGATTACTTGATGCTCTAGGAAAATTACATTTAAATAAAGGTTATAGATCTTTAACGACAGAAGCAATACATCCATCATATTCAGAGTTCTTGTTGAGTAAATATAATTTTATTCAAATATTCTAATAATCTAAGACAATTTTTTTTATATCTTTTGAAAATAGGTAAAGAAGAATATTTAATATGATCAGTTTCCTTCAAAAACTTGGTCTTTGTAAATAATTTTAAAGAGATGCCCTAGGAAAATTACATTTAAATAAAAGTTATAGATCAGTAATGAGAAAGCAGTATATCTATCACATTCAGAGTTGTTCTTGAGTAAATATAATTTTATTCAAATATTCTAATAATTTAAGACAATTTTTTCATATCTTATAAAAATAGGTAAAGAAGAATATTTAATATGTCATATTAATTCGAAACCTTGGTCTTTGTTGTGATTTTAAAGAGGATCTAATAAAACTGGTTTAATAATAGTCATTGATAAAATTCTTAACTCATATTTTGGAAAAGTCTTGATAATATTCCAAAATGACTTTATAAATCAATGGACCCTTCAAAGCCGTTGATATTTTAAAACAAAAGTCGGTGATGCGCCAGCAGCATCTTCATCTCGTTCCCAAAAAACCCGAAAAACACCGTCATGAGATGATGATCAGAACCCTAACTTAAAGCTCATTACGATGGCTATCAAGTGGGAGAAGGGGGGGGTAAAAGAGCCAAGAGATAGGAAGAAGCGTGGGTACAGCAGGCGAAATAATGAAGCAGAATCGCCTGCATGACAATGATTACTGTAAGCCAAATGAAAAAGAGAAATACAAAGAAAGACAGGGCCCGCAGCTCTGGCCATCTCACTCCCACTCAAACACTTGGATTCGAGTTGGGAACCGCTGTCAGCTTTTTTTCAGAATATTTGGGCCAAAGCGCCAAATGTAAACATTAAAAAAAAACGGAAAAAAACGATGATGATGGTTACTTAACAATGTTGAACAATAAATGAGTTCCAAATATGCACGTGTGTTTGTGCGGGATTTCGGTGGGTGTGTGGGTGCCCAAAGTTATTGTAGGTGTTGTGAAATCAAAGACCCCGAAAAAGAAAGGGGTATGCAGGTGCCAGCTACTGCATTCCATCGAAAGGAAATTAAAAAATCCATAATCTACAAAAAAGTTTAGGCCTCCTTACGAAAATGCAAAATAAATTAGTTTGAAAATAAGGATTATTAAAATCCATTTTACCTAAAATCAATATCATACTTATTTTAAGTTAGAAAAATGTGGATTAAATACGTAAAAGAAATTGAATTTATAATTATACTAGCATACTTTAAATAACAGCAATAAATTATAGCTGGCAATTAAATTTAAACCCCTCTATTTCTTATCTATTCTATAATTAAATTTAACACATCCTGTGCTAGATTCGTCCCTCTGCTAAGATTTAATAATTTCCAAAAAAACAAAAATTCGTACATGAAACTATAATATTTTACAGTTGTATTCTTTAAGCCGTTTTTTCTACCTCAACAATAAGGTCTCCGTTATGATGTCATATGGATTTGACTTGACCAACTACGAATACGCACACAAGCAGACTTCTACAATTTTTTGGGGTTTCCTAAGCATAATTTATATTTGGGTGTTACCTCTTTTTTTCACTTCTCCCAAAAGTCTTCACTGTCTATCTTACCTCTTTCTTTTTGCCCCCTCATTCTTTCATTTCGTTTGTCTCCATCTCTTTCGGCCACAATTTGCAAATGGGTTTTTGGTTGATTCTTTTGGCTCGGACTTTGGCTTTGGGTTAATTAGTGAGTATCTTTCCTCAGCACGCACAAATAAAAAAAAAAGGTAGGAAGCCAACAACAACAACGCTTAGGCGTTTCAGTTTTTTATTTTTGAATTTTGTTGTATTTTTATGTGTGTTTGTATGGGTAATGGCGGCGGCATTGCTGTTCTTATTAGCGTTGTAGCTTTTAAGCTTAAGCTTGCCCCGAAAATGTGGGTCACCAGTGTCGTTAAAGCCTCTCTTCGTCTTCAGACATACAGATATATATATATGTATATATGCTTATTCCGGTGTGTGAGTGCGCAAATTAAATATTCACAGCGTTGGCTAAGCAAATAAAATCTTCCAAGCTCTTTTTCTTGTTGTTGCATTTCCTTCTGCCACTTTTGTTAGCTGTTTTTTTTTTTTAAAGGTTTCTTTTGGGTCCAACAATCGGAGATGGTTCGGCGCATGAAAGTGAATCAGAATGTTTTAGCCGTTCTTTGCAAAGCAAATGAGATCAAAAGTGGGCTTTAGTCGCATCTCTTTAACCTGAATATGTCAACCCTACTTAAGCCGCTTCTTCTTTATCGAGTGTTGTTTCTTTTTGGCAACAAGAGAGAAGCCCATGTAGCCAATATTTGTATGCCACTTAGTTCAATTTATTCTACACAAAAGAGAATGTCTTCTGAGTAGATTAAGAGGTAAGTCTTTAAAAGGAATAATCATCAGAAAGATATTTAATTAAATCAATTATTTTTTGGCATATTAAAATGCTACCGATTGGCCAAATTCTTATAATTATTATTATAGTTAATAGTAGTTTATAAGCCAGGGTGTTCCTCATTTTGAGAGATGATTTTTGCAAGCCCAATTTACATTTAAAACCCACAATTCTTTAGGCAAATACTCGAATGTCCAGATGTTCTGTTTACATTCTTTGTGTAATCTTTCATTCTCTTGGCCAACTTTTAGTGTCGATTTGTGAAAAAATAATGAGGCAAGAACACAGATTCGGTTTGCTGTGGGCGTACCTTATTATGAGTTATACATATGAGGGGGCAAGAATTCGGCGGTGCCGTCAGCCGTTGGCTATAAAGGGGTGTGCCCTGACCCAATTTTTATTTTATTTAATTTTTTTCCGTTGCTCTCGGGGTCTTTCTCTACTTTTCGCCTTCTTTGTTTATTCACGCATGAGCTCAGCATTACGCGGAGAAAGAATTCTGCATGTTTATAGTTCCAGGGGAAATAGTAAAGACATTCTTAACCCTTCGGCGAGGACGTCATTAAGTAAATGTCCATGCCAGTTTTGCATCATTCGGTGGGCAGGTAAGTGCGCGGTATACAATGTCAAAGGACGGGCAACGGTGAAATTTACAATTTTATGGCGGACTTTAAGTGGAAAACAGCAAACAGTCAGAGGCAGCAACAGAGGTTTTATGGCCATGACAAAAGACAGCCGGCGACAAATGTTGCATCCGCATTGCACTGTAGCGTCTCTTGGGTTGCAGCTACAGCATTCGCTGTGTAGTAGTTGCCCCTGCCCTGCCCCTGCCAAGTCGTAAATCATGCGGCAATGTTTTGCATGTGACACGGACGGAGTGACAAGAGATTGACCCAATTTCCCAGACTAATCCGCAGCATGTCCAATCTCGATTTCCTCCACTTGGTCACTGCCAAAACCCTTCTCGAACATGTTGTGTTAAGTAAAAGTCACTAAATAAAGAAAATGCAAGCAGAACCTTGGCTATTTCAAATTTATAAGAAAATTAATTTATAATAATTAATAGTTTTAGTTATTAAAGTAATATTTATTTAACAAATAGGCAATATTTGAACAATGTAAAACTAAATGGTGTTCTATTGATTCTAAATATAAATTAAAGATTGATTATTTATTAAACCAAGTAAAAATACTTATTAAATGTAAATTTTAAGCTTTAAGTAATTTTTTAAATGTACTTTTTAATGTTCAAATTTTTATCAACTATAATGATAAAAATGTTGATATATCTTGATTAGAAATAAACAGTTTTCGAATTCAAAAGCAACCTTTTTTTGCTGTGCAACAAGTGACCTTCTAATGTCAAGGTCCTAGATAATGGAATTCTTTAATTGTTACGTAATATGTGAGCAAACCAGGGGCGTGCCCTTTATCCTTTTTGTACGGCACACGACTGGCACACATGTAAGGCTAAGGAAGCGTGGGTGGTAAGTTGCATAACCTTCGGGAATCCCTCGAAATTACTTAAATTTTTTAAGTGAATGAAATTTGAAATGATTCTCTGACGACTTTTGCATTTTGTTATAGCAGCTTACAATTTTTTTAATATTGAAATGCCCAACATACTGAATATACCCAGGAAATCAAAAGACTTAGAAAGCAAACTTGAAAGAAAAATACAATTTAAAGTGCCTTGCTAGGTAAGCATACTAGATCTGCAGTGGTGAATAATGAATTAATTTGTATAAATATTTTCAGCACAAACAGATATCCACTTCAATCCGTACTTATTATAATGACTTCAATTATGATTGTTCGCAACAGGAGAGTTTTCATTCAGCAGTCAGCAGAAAGGCAAAAAAAAAACAAACGTACAAATAATGGTGGTAGGAAAACTGTTACTTTCACATCAGCTAAAAGCTAAAAGCCAAGATTACACTCGGTACGGAAGCCAGAGAAACAGCAACAACATCAAAAATAATAGAAGCGTAATAGTTGCTAATTTTGTGCATTGCTCGGCCCCAAAATAAAAAAAAAGTCAACAAAAGGGCTAATTATGAGCACACTTTCGGCCAAAAAGCGGACGGAATGAGGGAACTCACAGACAATGCAAAAGAATCACGTCGTTATAAACTGTTTTTCATGCTGTAGTTTTTTTTTCATTATTTATTTTTGAGTGCTTGATTTCAATGGGATACGGAATTTGTTGTTGCTGCTCGCACTTTTTGGGGTAGTGCACAAAAAGGTGAGCACTTAAATGAAAGTTGTTCAACTTGCTCACGGAGCCCTAAATTGTTGTAGTCTTTTTAAGTACTATATAGGCGTATGTGTGCCAAGAAGAGGAAAGAAAAAAGGGGTAATTGTTGTGGCAGAAATAAATAAGGAAATCGAGGACACGAAAAATATATTACGTTATTCGGCTAAATACTAAAAAAAAAGTTTCATTGGTTTCAGAATATTATCTTCCTTGAAAATGTTTTAGATTATTTTTCCGACTTTAATCGACTAGAACTTTTTCTCCTTTGCTTTCTTCTAATGTATTCCCTATTTTAAATTACATTATTCCAAATCTGTTTTATATGGTCCGAAACATTTGGTACATCAAAGATAGTATAATTAGAAAGAAGCCCAAAATAATTATGCTTTCGGATTCTCTCACCCGTGCATGAATGCGGCAGTAGCAAGCGGTATTACCAGGTGGGTTTATACCGTAATTGAACCCGGGTCTCGACTTAAGATCGAGGAATATAGCCAAGCGTCGTATGTGTCATGCTTATTAAACTTTTGGTTCTGTTCCAAAAACTATTTTGGGCAGCCGCACTTTATGATTGGTGATTAAAAATATACCTTTTGGTTACTTTTAGGAGGACCCTGGCTGTCTGTTTTTGGGGGGCTGGCCAAGTCATGGTTGGCTTAGTTGCGTCTTGTCTTGGCTTGCTCCCATTGACAGCAAACGGGTTGCCAAAGTGCGTGGACTGGAGGGCTGGCTGGGGATTGGTGGCAGACACCCCAAAAACCAACAAACAAACAAGCCAAATGTTGCACTACATTTTAGTTGTAGTTGCTCCTGCACCCGGATTTCAAACCGGAGTCGGAGCTGGAGCTCAAGTTGGCATCGTCATCGCCATCGCCATTGCCGCAGTTGCTAAACTTGTTGCACATGTCGGTTACTAGTCAGCTTTATTGAGGGGAAACTGAAAACATTTTGGAGTCGCCAAGCCGGCCATTTTCTAGCCCATTCTGGCTATTTTTATGATCTAAATCGGGAAACTCCAAATTAAAGATATTTTATTTAACTTAATAGATGTACAATTAAAAATTGTTTTAATATATTTTTATAGAATTTTTATTAATTTTATCATACAACTGTTAGGAACTATTAATATTATAAATTAATATTGTATTTTTAAATTATTATTTCTTTTTGCAAACTGATAGAACCACAATTTCCCAACAACACTGATTTCAAGACGTAGCTGAAGTTGTTCGAGGCTAAGGCTGTTCCTAGTTTTTGTATCAAAAACACTTAACAACTTGTAAAATTCTCCGACTGCTGCAGTTGACACACATCTGTCAAAGCGGCCAAGTGGGTCAGCTGGTGGGGCAAGTGGTGCTGCTGCTGCTGCTGCTGGTGGTGGAGTGGTGCGATCTTGTTAATCGTTTTTGATTGCCGCGTTGATGTTCCACCACCTGAAGCACTCAAATGATGATTGTCGTTTAGAGCGCCGAGCCGTCGACTGTCACAGATTCTTTACTTTTCCCCATCGCGTTGCTTGCTTTCTTGATTGTTGTTATTATTTGTTATTGTTATAGTTGGTGCGGCTACTTTACTGTCATGGCTTATTATGTGCATTATTAGCTTGGCTAGATAGTCACTCGACTGGCTATCACAGACTTTCAGCGATCCTTTGGATAAGATACTAAAAAAAAAGAGTTGCAGATGATATCATATCACATTGGGTATGAAATGAAATTTTTAAATTGTAAAAAAATATTTACAAAGTATTTGCAAATATTAAATCGATTGCCAATTTAATATATTGTTCTTTTTTATTTTAACTAAATACTATTGTGTAAAATTGTCAACCTTAATGCTGCTCCGTTTATATTAAAGATTCTGGTTATATCTCACATGAAACGTCTTCTTTTAGAAACCCAATCTGTTCTTCTTTATCTTGAAGTAATTTTGTAATGATTTAATGTAATGCGTTGGCCCTATTTTATTAACTACCCATTTCAACTGTAAGAATTACGTGCCTTAGCCATTATAATCCATAACCGCCGAAAATTCTGTCACACACAATACGAATCTTCAGAATCTCCATCTTTCTTTCCGCATTCAAATGTAAAGCCCAGCCATGCCCACTTTTAATATTCAATAAAGATTTAACGAGACATGTTAACCGCTTTTGCAGTCACAGAATGCATAAATAATTATAGAATTGAGCAACAATTTCAGCAAAGTAATAAAAAACGCCAACAAAAAAGCCAAAAAAAAGAGAGATGTTGAGACACGGCAATTAAATTCAATTTTGTGGCCAATAAAGATGAGAAAGAGCGGAGAAAGAAAGAAAAAAGAATATAGAGGGGTTGTGCCGATGTACCAGGAACAGTTATGGACAAACACTGAGATAATAATTTTGTTTAAATTTAATTGTGAGTTATATTTGTACGGTAAATCACGTAGCAAGGGGAGGGGCTCAGGTGCGGGGTATAATAACCATGTATTGGTCATGGCCCAAGGGGAAGCCTAATTGGCCAAATTGATATATTACTTTATATATCTTCCTCTGTGTGGCAATTGAAGCATGAATGTGAAAGAAAGAATGAAAAAATACGATTGAAAGAAATGAATTAGTTGGTATCTCTGCAAAGAAACATCTCATAAATATTAAACATATTTATAAGCTTTTGTAACTGTCACTTTCAAATCAATTGTAGAGCTTTTTAAGTTGATAATTTATCAATTTGCATTTCTACCAAAAATCTATCGAAAACCTTTGGCTTAAATAAAGAAATTCTCTGACCAATCATAAATAACTTAAGCCAAACAACAATAAGCCAGAAGTTGCAACATAAAAGGAAAGGAAACGAAAGAAATGTGTGCAGAGAAGAAGCAGCAGCAACACAAAAAGTCGGTCATGAAATCGCAAGTGACCCACTTGGCAAGCGAACGGGCAAAAAAAAAAGTATTCACAAAAAAAATGAAGAAAAGAAGAGAAAAACGAAAGACTCAGGCAACGAACGCGATGCAGACAAATATGACAAGCGACGCTAGAGCGCGTGATAGAGACAGCAAATCCGGGTAGAAAGAGACAGCAAATGCCGCACAGAAAGAGACAGCAGACAGGCAACGTAGCGAATCTAAAAGAGGACACCATAATTGGCAAACAAGGTGGGTGGGGGGGGGGTGTATGAGTTGGCCTAAGTGGTAAACCCGCATGAATGACTCGACTTGCTCGCAGCCGGACCTGTATGCGTCACTAAACTTGACCAAATTGTATGTACAAGGAAGTCTGCTGCAGACTCCACCTCATGATATACCCCATCCAAAAAACCTAGTCGTGTTAGCTAATGACATTTTTTGTGGGCCTCCATCGTCTGGAGTCTGGGTCTGGTCAAGACAGCAGGTTCAAGTCAAAGTGCGGGGCCGGTTTTCTAATGTGGCGCTGGGAAATTTTCATGGGGCACGAGGAGTGTTTCGGCTGCGGTTTTTATGCAAGTGAAAGCAAAGGATGAGATTGGACTGCGGAATCTACATGAATCGATCACGAGTGGGTTAGGATAGGTGGTAAAAGTAAAAAGAAATAGTCGAATCGACTATCAATAGTTACAAAAAAGAATAAGCAAAGCGAGATAAAATGGCATACCGGTAGACAGATTAGGTGGGTTAGAGTGGCGTGGCAATTTTTTTGATCATCGATAGTATTGACGAACAATAATTCAGTTAAATTTTTATCTAGCATGCAATTGGCGTCACAGGTCGCGGTTGGGCGTTAGTCGTGGCTAATAGTAATCGATAGGTATGATGAACATACGTTCAGTAAATTCTATCTAGCATCAAACTGTAGTTACGTGGGGGTGGGGTTAGGGGGGGAGTCTATGAAAAACTGGCTGGTAAAAGTAGAATCTGTAAATTCAATAGCTAGTCATAGTTTGAATTCAGCATACAACAACACAACTCAACAAAGGAATGCTAATCATCGGCTATGATCTGATAGATATATATTTATTCAACGTTTTTGTTTCTTTCGATTTTTTTTACTCGGTTTTTTGCTGTCTTTTTATATAAGTGTTTTAAAGGTGTAAAGAAGCTTAATGGATATCTATGGTTAGTTGAAATAATAACAATAATATAAAGTAAGTAAAGAGGAATATAATCGGCACGCCTTAAGCTTTATTTAAATCGACCCCCATATGGAAATTCTCGACTCTCAACATTATAATAAATCTTTTCGATAGCTGAATATGTACCACTTTAAAAACAATTTCTCACAGGCTCTTAATACCCAGCTCTTTTTCCAGTCATTTTCCCAATATTTCCCCCGCTTCTGGCCAGACTTTGAGCCGCTCTAGACACGGCATACTATCCACCACTAGCCGCATAATAGACTTGGCCTACATACGAGCCACTCAGACACTCAAGGCATTCTTTGCACACACTCTCCGCCTCTTTCACTTTTACTCTCTGCTCATAAGCATAATCATGCTTACTCATGATAATCAGACTCTGTTTCTGTTTCTTGGCTGCTCAGCTCATTACCATGCCACACAACAAACCACTAAAAAAGCAACCACGATAGTAACAATAACAATTATTATACCGACTTTAACTAGTTTCCACACTTGGCCTGGTCTAGTCTGAGCCCGCACAATTTTCCATTTCCATTTTCTTTGCAAATGCGGTCGAACTGCCGCCACTTCACCCGCCGTCTTCTCTCACATCGGAAATGTAATAAAACAAATAACGTTTAAAAAACGAAATAAAGAAACAGATTGAGGACCACTGGGGAACTGTTTCCTGATGTGCCAATAATTTGGGTAATTAAAATTACTGCCTTAAACCATGGTCGTTATAAAACCGTGTTAAAGGCAGTACATACATATGATATCTTGATCAATTTATAATTTAAGATTTTTAAATTTTAATGGAAACAATGTCTATTTTTAGATAAAACTAATATATAATTACTGCTAAAAAATTCTAACAAAATATATACCTCTTTAATTTAATAAAAACTATTTAATTTAAAAAAAATTTGGAAGTTATTTATTTCTTAATATAATGGTAAAGTAATTCTCAAAAAAGATATGCCATTTTTAAAATATTTAAGTGGTAGTTGGGACACAACCACACACAATATAAACACTTACTTAGGTTAAATTATAGTTATTAAAATGCCTGAAAATATTTGAAGCGCGAAGCAGCATTATTGCATAGATATTAATAAAATAAAAGAAAGGCATTTGATTTAGATGGATGAATGCAAGAAAGGCATAAGAAAGCATGTGATCTATAAAAGATATAATAACTTAACTTAATCAAGAAGTTAAGTATGGGAAGCGGAAACTAACTAAGAATTTTAATGATGATCGGCAGTTTAAGGAAGCAGGATGTGCTGCCAATTTGGCTCCACTGTGCTGCATCGATATTGCAAGTTGCAACTCAAAAGAAGGCCCGCAACACACACACACACACTTGTGCTCAAAACGTTTTCCGAATATTTTGAATAACGGTTCATGGTGCATACCAAAATCAAATCAAGTGGAATCGCTGGTTGGCTTTATTTTTGTTGCTGCTTTTGGGTTTCGGTTTTTTGGGTCTGGGTCTGGGTCCCCTCGCCACTTGACCGAAAACCCACGAAACGACAAAACGAGACGCATATGAATTCTTTTTTTTTTTTTTTGGTTTTTGGTCGATGGCAACAAGTGCGCCGACTGACCATACAAAATACAAAATACCGAAACCTGTTGGCCCATATCACGTACCTTCTGGCCAACTCCCCCCCGCCTACCGCACCCCATTTCCAGCACCTCCTCCTTCTCCTTTTCCTTGGGAGCCACATAAAAAGTTGGAACGCCGCCGCTTGGCGGAATTAATTATGTAGCCCAAAGCTGAATTATATGCGAAAGCAACTACCCACCACCCCTTTTCCCCCTCC